CGCGGCGGCTGCGCCTCTGTCCCCGCTCAGGCCTCCCGGCTTGGCCTTCCCCCTGGAGCCGGCTCAAAGGTCGGGCCGTGCCTCGGCCGGGCGGTGTCTGAGCGGGGCTTGGAGGGGCTGGTCGGTGCGGGTGGCCCGGGGGGGTGGCTCGTCCCCTGGGGTGGTTCGGGGTGGTCTGCCCGGTCGTGCCGAGGGGCTGTGTGCCGGGCGGGGCGGGGGGTTCGCTTTGTGCTGGCGATTGCAGTCACCGTGAGCGGGCACTGGGCAGAAGGTTGGCCCCTGACTAGACATTCAGCAGAGACCTTGCTCTTTGGTTGCAAGCTAGAGCTTGCTGAGCGAGACGTTGGGTGTTAGTTTTTCTTGGTGGAGTTACCCGGCTCGTTTTAAAGTGCTTCAAGCGGCTGGAAATGAGGGGTCCTGAATGCGCTGTTGAGGAGGGGAATGTGGTGTAACCTAGTAAGTCGCACTACCTCTGTGGTAGTAACTTATGTTTGCTCCTGATCTTAACTGCTAAGAGAGTTGTAGTCTACGATGGAAAAAGCAAACGGCGTAAAGATTAAAAAAAAAATAAAAAATAAACTGCTGTGGAAACATGTAAGTTTGGCTGAGGGAAGGTTGTTCCCTGCCAAGCATACTTCACACAGAAAGCAGTGCAGAAAGAAGCAACTCCCTTGCCATTCAGACTTGACTTTTCTTCTTATGTTGTTTGTTTGGCTTGCTAGTTTAGTTTTTCCTGTGAATGTAATTGACTACAGAAGTGGGAAGTTACGGGATGAGGCTGTAAACATGGGAAATGACCACGGTGTTTTGACTTTTAGGTGATAATATGTGATTAGCTTTTCAATGAAATAGCAAAAGTTGGACAGCTACTTGACAGAATCCAAGTACCAGTCTAGTACTTGCATAGTCTTATTACGAAGGGCAAAATTAAAATTATTTAAATTTACAGGCATACAAAGGAACAAAAGTTTACTAAATTAAAAACTAATTAACTCATAATACCTCTTTCTGCCAACACTTAACAGTAATAGATAGAATCCCTTAACATGCTACATAAAGGTGATTGGGTAGTTTGGGTAGAGGGGGAAACTGGGGACCCAAAGCCGTTGCGTATGTTGTTGTGTCATTACTTGGATTCTCAATTAGGTCACACCACCCTTTTTTCTAAGGGTGGATTTAAAGGAGCTCTCAAACCTTCTGCTGTATCATTGGCTCATAGTATATGAGAGCTGGGAACAAGTATTAGAAATAAAGCTTTGAGATTGAAAAATTTTTAAGTATTCTTGGTAGTGCATATGAGAGGCTTTTGTGTGCAGTAAAATAACACAGGTGTTACAACATCAGGTTTGATGGATCTAGATGCAGCATTTCATGCTTTCTTAGTCACACGATAAATAGGCTGAAAGTTTATCTGTGTACGTTTCAGATATGTGATCATTTTAGATATTCAGTGGTTCCATGTTTACACTTAATATCACATTATGTTTGATAGACCTGTATTTCCTGACTAGAATTTTTACTCCCCACAAAACATTGTGCAATGTACTGAGTGTTTGGCTACCAGGTTCCCTTGCCTAGCACTGCTGAAATGCACTGACATATTTATATAGTTAGCCAATAACCCTTGGGAAATGAAAATACAAACTTAAACTCTGAGTCCTGATCTTGCTTGTCTGTATTTGTTTAGGTCTGCTGACTTGGGTGACCATGTGCTGACCAGACCTGGACAACCCACAGTTGCACGAATACCTCCACCTATTTTGCCAAGACCATCACAGCAAGTGGGGAGCAGTAGTCTGACCGCTTTCAGGCCAGCGTATAGTAGTTCTTTTTCTGCAGGCTATGGTTCATATGGAACCTCGTTTTATGGAAGTTATAGTCCTTACAGTTATGGATATGGTGGTCTGGGTTATAACCGCTTTCGTGCTGATGATATTCCTC